CCCCCTCATCATAAATCATCTCTTTCCAATGCCCGCCATCAGCCGACTGTAGCGGAGATTCAATATTCCCCAGGTTATCTCCACTTATGATCCCAGTGAGGCTCAGGAACAAGTAAATTATAAATCCACAGGCAAGGTTTCCAACAGGCAAAATAATCCAATAGTATCCCCACAGCAATCTCAATGACTGGACGACACACAGCATCAGGAGCAGAACTGACAACCTTTATTCCACAGTGCCTTATATAGCATGCAAGGGAGGGATTTTCATCAATTAGTACAGTACCCAATCCAACAATAGTAACCTCCCACACATCTCCTCCCCTCAGCCTGCATCATAATCCCCTTATACTGTACCCAAATTCCCCCAGTTTCTGAATGTACCCTAAACCTAGGGGTACCCCATTAAATGGCACATCCCCTGGTAGCCCTTATCTGGGTGAGCAACATATCCAAAAATCACCCAGATCGGACCAGGGGTTCGGGAAACTTATGGAGGTACTAAAAAGACCGACCGCGCTGGATAGAACAGCCGAATTGGGTTCCATGCGATGTGGCCCTGCGGTCGGTCCCAGTACAAGGGAATAATTTACACGAACGGCTAAGGCTACAGAGATCAGGTAGGGTTCACATGAATCCCCTCGTTCGGTTGTTTCTGTCTACCGAACGAGGGCCCGTTCGGTAGTTTGGAACCGAACGGACCAGGCTGGTGGAGGTCTCAGTGGTGTTCGCCTAGTCGAGTGTCCGATTTGGGTTCCAGACACTCAACGGCAAAACACAGCTGTTCGGGAGTTTTAAAATGGCCGCCACCACGTGTTCGTTTCCCGAATGGCGGCCACCCCGAGACAAAGGACCTACTGCATATCTTGTTAATTACTCATTCGCAACATTGTTGCAACAGGTAATTGGAGGCACACTTCACACAGGGGAGGTCTGATTGTTCGGTAGTTTCATTCCCTTAGTTTATTCGAATGATTCTACCGAACAATCAGACGAATACACTTTATTTAAACACATATAAAACCAGCAGTTTACACGAATGCAGTGAACACATCAAATTTTCAGGACAGCCCAGTGCCATCCGCTACACAGACCTTATCCACACTCGATGGGCATGACACCTCAGGCAACCTAATGTTAACCGTTTGAAGCAGGGGAGGTTGAGACCTGCAAACATAATGAACTTACTCCATCCTTAAACATAACCCCTCAAACTTAATTGGCAAGGACATACCCCCACCTCGCTGTGACTAACTAATCCTACAAGGGGTGGGTGGGCGGGAAGCTGTTTGCTGGCCCGAATCCCAAGTGGCACTGAGGTAAGACCTCCCCCACGCTAACTTATATTGAACCTAACCCCTCCCACACACACTACCCAAGTCACTCCCCTGCATCTATCCAAAAACCCTGCTCAAACCCCTCCACTAGGCTGCCGCCCGGTTCCTATAAAGGTCGAGCCACGGGTGCATCACGTTTACGAGCACCGGGGTCGTCGCCCTTAACCCCCATGTCCCCTTTTTTTTGCTCGTTTTCCCACGCTTGAAACAGCGAGAGGCGGGATGAGCAGCTGGAGCACTCATGCTTACACCGGCACGAGGACCCCCACTTGCAGTGACTGTCGTTGAACTTCCAACAACAGCCTGTCCTCTGATTGGGGGCCGATGGGGCAAAGGAGCCCCCACCGCCCCCCCCAAGAAAGGACGAAACCGCGCCCTGCTGAGGGGCTGGACGGGTCATAATTGCGAGCCAGAGACCAATGTCCATCTGGTCCCATGACAACGAAGGATGCACTGCCAGCCGCTGCCGGAACTGCTCGTCGTACCTCCACCACCCCAGCCCCCCATAGGTTCGACAGGCGTTCCAAATCGTGTCCTGATAACAGAACAACGCGGAACACTTCTGGGGAGCTTTCTCCCCCACCACGCTGGCCAGAATGGAGAACGCCCGAATCCAATTCCCAAACGTTTTGGGAATTTTCCGATAGCGGTATTTCTCCTTGTCTTTTTCAGACTTTTTACTGTCTTTTTCTGCCGCGGGAGGAGCTTCCTCCAGTTGCAGGAGAGAAAATATCTCGACGAACTCACCCTTCCAAATTTTCTTCCCTCGTTTCCTGCTTTAAGTGCAGACCCAGAGGGCCAGACCAGCACATATAAGTTGCGCCACGGGCCACGTCTGCCACGCCCGCCTCAGGGGGAGCGTCACCCATGGGCGCACAAACACTGGCCCCCGTGGGTCCCAGGGGCAACGAACCACTACCCACTACTGAAAGGGGCCTGGGAGGAGGGGGAACCTGAACCACGGGGGGGGACTGCGCGGGGGACCAAACAGATCACAGCTGACTATCCACAGAGGTGTCGCCTTTTCCCGCCGCCCCTTGTTCCCATTGATCCAACAAACCTCGAAGTCCCTAAAGAAACCCCCCCAGCCCGAGACCCGAAGCGGCAATAGAGGAGGGAACATTGTACTCACCGGCGGCAGCTTGGCGATCCAAACCCTGCGCTGCATTCACGGAAGACTGAGGCACTGAAAATTGGGTTCCAGCATCCAGAGAAGATATCAGCTGTGTTTCAGGCGCCACCTGCTGGCTGGATCCATGAACTGCAGCAGTATCCTGAGGAGAGAGCAGCGAAGAAGACGTGAGCCCATGCCCCAGAGGAGATGGCCGAGGTAAGTGACCTGCAGGGGGGGGGAGGGGGCCCAGGCAAAGTAAGAGGGGGGTAGACACCAGATAGATAGAGTAGGGTAGACACCAGGGGAGGGAGGAGGGCAGAGAAGGAGGAAGAAGGGAAGAAACGGGGGGGGGCAGGGAAGGAGGAAGAAGGGGGGGAGGACAACGGAATAGGGGGGGGAGGGGGGAAGAGGAGGCCAGAAAAGCATGAGGGGGACCCGGGGGCCCTCTTAGTGGGAAGTTGAGCCCCCCAGGGAACCCCCTCGAGGAACGCACATGGGAGGGGGAGGGGACAGGAGAGGGAGAATATCGGGAGCCTTCCTCACTGGCAGAGGAGGCTCCCGACACACAAGGGGACCCCCCCGCACCCCTAGCGGCGGTACTGCGGTACCCCGCACGGCCCCACTCACCACCGGGGCCCCAGCAGCAGCCCCACTCCCCCGCCGGCCGCGGGGGGACCTGGAATGTTGCCGGGCTGCCGCCCGCAGCCCGGATGTGTGTGCAGGCCTCCCACCGCCCCCGGACCGCATTCCAATGCTGTCGGCCAGGCCGGGAGTCAGGGGAACCAGACGGGCACGTGGAGCCCGTCGGGTAGGCCACGCACCAGGCCTCACCTCAGGCCTTGAGGGGGCAGGCTGCACCACACGTGCAGCTGCGGAAGGCCGCAAATCCCGGCCACTGGACCCAGGCCGCGTGCCTGGAGCCCCAGACACGCGTCCCGGCGATGCCTCGGGCCTGGGCTCCTGCTCCTCAACCGGGCCCGAGGGGTATTATCAGGAGACATCCTGGCAGGCGGATGGGAACGCCTGCCAGTGCTGGTGCGGCACCCAGGGGCAGGGTGCGCATGGGAGGCAGCAGGGGAGACCGCAGGGGGTGCTCCAGGGGAGGGTAGGCCACGGGGGGTGCCCACACCTGCAGCCATACCTCCACTAATGCTCTGAAATTGCTCCCTTAGTTGCCGGCCACCATCCAGCGCAGCAGCAGCAGCCCTGAGGGACGCCAGGATCGCCTCAACATCCATCACCTCAAGCTGTGAAGACTAAAGGCCCAGGCAAACAGGAGCAGGAGGACAGGAAGCTGTTTGCTGGCCCGAATCCCAAATGGCACTGAGGTAAAACCTCCCCCACGCTAACTTATATTGAACCTAACCCCTCCCACACACACTACCCAAGTCACTCCCCTGCATCTATCCCCACACTCCTACATGTGCCCTTGTCCGCTTAGCTGCGCTATCTCCCCAGGGTCTGTATCTATCTAGCTATCTATCCAGTATCTATATATCTATCTATCTAGCTATCTCTCTCTATCTATCTATCTCCCCTTAATGCACTTGAATCCAGCTCTAGGGTATGATAACAGCGCTACGGAATTTGCTGGCGCTATGTAAGTAATAAAATAATAATAATAATAATAACTCTATTGACTCCATGTGCTCCAATAGACCAGGAGGGGATTTAATAGGCCGTCCTCATGATGTCGATGTGATTATACTGGTGCTGGTATTATGCTTCCTGTGTTGAAGCTACTATTGTCCTTTTATTCTTTCTCTATGTAAGCTGCTATTACCCGTTATAACCACCAGAGGCTTGCCTAATATAGCATTAGCCACCAGAGACTCAGACTCAGCAAAACAACTCTGTACTAAAAAAATAAGAGAAGTTTATACACTAAACAGCGAATTGCAGAACATTGAAAACCAACTGAAAAATTCTCCAATTAGCTGCAGAATATTCCTTCCAGCATTTCAACTCAACCTGCTGATAACATCTTGCTGCACAGATTGGGAGACAGGTTATCTAATACTGGGTCTTTTCTATCTTTTCTTGCAACATATGCAATCTACATACTAAAGGGCAGAACTTAACACACAGCAAGTCAGCAACCAACAGTGTGCTTGAAAATGTACCTAGGAAACGATGGTACATACTGGCCTTCAGGCGCGATCCTGACTCGTGGGTGTTTTGGTTGGTGAGTGAGATGGCCAGTGACGTAATACGCAGTAACAGTTTAGTTATCATGGAGTGATCCCAAAAGAAGAGATTCCCTCCTGCAGTATATTGGTTGAGTGTACTGCAGGGCAGCACTTTTCACTTTTCACTTTTCACGCCCTGTGCATCGGCATAACCAATTTATACATATTCAGAAAGAAGGTGGATCTGCAAAGCCAAATTACTAAAGGAAAGTCTCTAATCCTGTGTATTACTGTCTTCAGTTATAAGCATTTGTTCATTAAAGCGACTCTGTCATGGCAATATCACTCAAAGGAACACTCCAGGCACCATAACAACTTAATCTAAATGTCAGGAGGTTTCAGGAGGTCCCTGGTTGCTAACTTCCCATGGTTTAACACTAAAGGTTGCACTGGGTCTCCAATTCTCCTAGTGGCATTCGGCTTCTGAAATAGATTTTAAAGAAGTGCAGAGTGTCGCCAGTGATTGGTCTGCTGAGACTCTAAGCCAGTGATAGCGAACCTATGGCACACGGCCATAGGTCGCCGGTCAGCATCAATGCAGAGTAGGCACCTGCCTGTCCAAAACGGCAGGCGCCTACTCTGCTTCCGTGTAGGAAGGACAGGGGGAGGGGTCTAGGAAACAGCTCTCCTGTCCTCCCTCGAGCAATCTGTGTGGAGCGTTGCTGTGCATTACCATGGCAATGCTCCACACAGCATTCTGCGCGCGGGAGGACAGGAGAGCTGCGGAACCTGTCCTACTTACCACCAAAGGATGGCTGTGTGTCCCCCTCCTTCACCAAAGGTAAGAAGAAGGAAGAGAGGTGATACAGATTGTATTAATATATTTGCAGCAGTACCCCCCCCGACACAGTACGCACACACACAGCACCCCCCCACACATACAGCACCCCTCAACACACACACAGCACCCCCCACGCACACACACAGCAACCCCCCACACACACATAGAAGCCCCCTCACACATGCAGCACCCCCCTACACACACAGCACCCCCTCACACACAGCACCCCCACATGCACAGCACCCCCACACACATGGCACCACCCACACACACACAGCACCCCTCTCACACACATCACCCCTCACACACACACACACACACACACAGCCCCCCTCAGAGACACACACACCCCTCACACACTCTGCACCCGTACACAAAAACACATACACTGCACCCCTCAATGAAGTATGTGTGTGTGTTTGTGTGTATGTATTCAGCAGACTGTGTGTATGTATTCAGCAGTTTGTGTGTACTCAGCAGTCTGTCTGTGTGTGTATTAAGCAGTCTGTCTGTATGTGTATTCAGCAGTCTGTGTGTGTGTGTGTTTAGCGGACTGTGTGTACGTATTCAGCAGTATGTGTGTATGTTTGTGTGTGCATGTATGCAGCGGACTGTGTGCATGTATTCAGCGGACTGTGTGCATGTATTCAGCGGACTGTGTGTATGTATTCAGCAGTCTGTGTGTGTGTCGGTGTGTATGTATTCAGCAGTCTGTGTGTGAATGTGTTCAGCAGTCTGTGTGTGAATGTGTTCGGCAGTCTGTGTGTATGTATTTTATGTATGTATTGCATTTGTTGGAGATACTAATAAATCTATAATTTAGATTTTTATTCCTGTGAGTTGTGTGTAGGCAGGGCCCCAGTGCACTGCTTTGCCCGGGGGCCCATAATGTTGTTAAGATGGCACTTAACAACAGCACTTAACTCTCTGATTGGTGGATTAAGTAACCAATCAGAGCGTTATGAGTCAAATTACACAGCGTGGGAAAATTCCAAAGAACTTTCCCACACTGTGTAAAATGATACAGAGCACTCTGATTGGTGGATTTCAAACCAACCAATCAGAGTGCTGTGGCCGGTAAATGTAGAGACTTACCTGTCAGTCTCTTCATTTACCTGTCAGAGCACTCTGATTGGATGGCTTAAACCCACCAATCAGAGTGCTCTGAGCCTAATTGCAGGGCGGGGCAAGGTTTTATAAGCCTTCCCCCGCCCTGCAGAGCTCAGTCTGCGCGGAGCCCTCGCTGGGTGAAGATGGATTTTTTTTTTTTGCGCTCGCTTTTTTTTTTTATATAATTGCGTCGGTTATTATGGTTTTTTAGAAGATTTTAGAAGAAAGAAAACATCGAATGGTAAGTTTTTTTGTTTTTTTTTACAGGAACTTAGTTAAAGGTCCCTCCCTCATTATTTTTAGGGTGAGGGGTTAGGTAGGGGGATAATTTTTTTTGGGGGGGGAGGGGGTGACTAGGGGTTTGGGGACCCCTAGACACCTGGGCGGGCATTTTTTTTAGGGCCCCCACCCACCGCTCAGGGGTGGGGGCAGGGGGGAGGACAATAGGTCCCCCCCTTATTAGTATTTAGGGCCCCCACCCACCGCTAATGTTTACTTAGTATTAGTAAAATTTGGCTGAAAGACCAATTTAGGCCTTTCAGCCTTTTAGTAGATAGCTCCCTAATCAGCTGCAATAGAAGTCGCGAGGTGCCGAAGTTCCGAAATTCCGAAGTGTCGAAGTTGCCGAAGTTCCGAAGTGTCGAAGTGCCGAACTTGCCGAATTTACGAAGTGTTGAAGTGCCGAAGTTCCGAAGTACTGAAGTGCCGAAGTTCCAAAGTTGCCGAAGTTCCGAAGTCTTGAAGTGCCGAATTGCCGAAGTCCCGAATTGCGAAAATCCAGAATTTCGGTATGCCGAACCGAACCGAAAATTTTCCCCATGCACATGCCTAATTACTATACAGATGTTGAGGCTGATTTGTGTGTCAGAGGAGAGTGACTCCTTTGACCTATCTGACAGTGACACATTTAGCGAGCCTTCTGGCGATCAGGAGGAGCTCAGAACGCCGCACTGTACTTAATATTAATGTCGCCGAAATACCCCTATTTTTGTCAACCCCTGGCATCACAACCATAGTTGAGAATTGTGAGCCAGATAGTTATTTTAGCCTGTTTATGACGGATGGCATCTTTGAGTTTATGTTTTGCGCAAACAATATTCTATGCCAGTCAATATCTCACTGCCAATCCTGGTCCTCGCTACAGCAGGAAGATTATGCTGATGTTAGTAATGGGGATTGTGAAAAATCTAGTATTAGGAGTTACTGGCATAAACACCACTCCTAAGTACCCCTCTTTTTACAGGTATTATAAAGAGGGATAGGTATGAACAGCTTCTCCCAGGGACACCCAGTATGCCCCTAGAAATTCCCCCAGTATAATTGTCTACAAAAAATGAGGACCCTAATTGATCACTTGGTCAAAACAAATTTCAGAGAATTACACCCCTGGCCAAAATATCTGCGCAGACACGTCCATTTTGAATTTCACTTGACAATGGTCATTCCAGCCGAAATGTTGCATGGTTGTTGTGTGTCACAATGATAAGGTAAAACACTCTTTTTACAGCAGTTTATTTAATTCCTCCTATTATTTTGATCATCATCGTTGTGAAAATTATATTTTGAGTCTGTATGACAATACATATACTTTTGTATATAAATTTATTGCACAGGTATATTCATTATTGAGTTATCTGTGATTTGTATACAAGTGTGTAGGTATATTATTTTTATTATTATCATTCAATAAAGCTTATTTTTATACTATATGAGGTGTCCATTTTGTGTGTATATAGTACTCACCGTAAAAACCTGGTATAAAAAAGTTGCCACCTATATAACTTCTGCATACTGTGTAAAAACCAATGCAACCAGCTTTTGTCTGACATTTTGTTTTTGCCAGCCCCCCTATCCCTCGTTATTACAATCTGTAGATGTTCAAAGACTCTGTGGAAAACAGTTCCATAGTAGAATCCACCAACAGCCCACAAAAAGTGTAGAGTCTGAAAAAAAGAGGAGTTAATAGGGACTTTACGTATTATTGCCCTTACTGCCCATCTGTACCTGGCCTATGTGTGTCTGAATGTTTTAAAGTGTACCAAACATAGTTAAAGGGACACTATAGTCACCAGAACCTTTACAGCTTAATGTGGTGTCTATAGCCTGTCCCTAGAGGCTGAGCAATGTAAACATTGCCTTTTTAAAGATAAGGCAGTATTTGCATTGCTGCCAAGGGACAGTCACTTCGATGGCCACTAGAGGTGCTTCCTTGTTCAGTACTGCTCAACTTGCAGCACTAGCGTTCAGCATCTCCATGCTCTGCATGGAGGCACTGAACACTCCCAACAGAGATGCACTGATTTAATGCATCTCTCTGAGGAGATGCAAATTGGTGCAGTGTGGCATTTTGCCGCACATGCGCAATAGCCTCTCAAAGCATTGCATTGTCTGAAGTAATCAAGTTTGATGAAGTGGGACTAGCTAAAACCTGAAGTGCTCATGGAGGTTGGAGAAACACTTTAGCCATTCCCTGTAAGAAAATGTGACACCAAAGAAAAGTCCCTAAAAGAGAACAACGAGAGCATGTCATTAAATGATCTAACACAGAACATTTCTATACAAGTGGATTCCGCAGCACCCTGTACACAAACTGCCATGGTTGGCTGGCTTGCAGGTTGATGCACCACATTCCTGGTAGCATCATGTCACCAGTGATGCACATTCTGGTTCTGTCCCCTCACATATTGATTTTATGTCCAATGCTTGGTGGTATGTTATGGGAAGTGCCAAGGGTGGGATTGCATTTCACTCATATGTACATACCTGAAGGATAAGGGGCAAAAGGCATGGTGATAACCATCACTTAATGTCCATCAATCCAAGGTTCATACCACACACCCAGTGTGTCATATTATATAGATCTCCAAGGGTTCAAATTCCAAGTCTTACACTACTAGCCAGGCTTTACTCACCACTGCAGTCCAGGTGAGTGCCATGCACCCTCCAGACGTGAATTCCTAGTCACCAAGGTGGAATTTTCCCTCACTAGTGGCTAGCGGCAAGTGGAAACTGTGAATTTTGTATATTGTGGCACAGAGTTATTTGATGTCTGGTTCAGAATAGGCTGTCTGGTCTGTATTGTTTGTCTCAAAATAAATGTATCTCCCCCTCATTTTCTACCTCAGATGTTAGTTTTTAGGGCTCTCTTTTTATTGGTCTCAATTAGTTAAATATTACTGTGTTCTATATTCTCACCTTCCTACATGTATATGACTGGGTGTGTCCGACAATAAAGATGAAATGATTTCATTGAAGATTGACGTCAAAGTTCTATTTATGGGGGGATTTTCCAAGTGGCCTTCTTTGTAAATGCCGCTATGAAACAATCATAAAAATCCACAAACCAACCCATGACTATCTCTGGCATCGGTTATTTTGGGTGTTGGACTCTTTCAGATTGATCAGTGTTGCCTCAGACCTGAGGAAGAGAGGAAACTCTCGAAAGCTTGTCATTAAAAAATTATGTTAATCCAATAAAAAAGGTATTACAAGATACAAATTTTATTTGTTTTTTACATCTACATCACTGGACTAATACGGCTGCAATCTCTACTTGAATAAAGTGTGTAATTCCTCTGCACCCCAATTCTTCAATGCAAACCTTGATTCAACAAATCATCCAATGGAATGCACCTTGCTACGTTTTGGCACCTTAGTGTCTTTGTCTAGTCTCTTTCCATACAAAGTGATTATAACTGGCCACCCATGGTCCTTCCCTCATCCTCCCAAGGAATGTCAGGAGACCCTCAGATGCAATCAGCATCAGTGAGTTAAGAAAATCTTAAATGGAAATGATTTATTCCAAAAACAGGAGAAGTTGTTTTTCTGTTCAATATGTTATTTAAATCTGCTTTAATACTATTTCTCTATATATAACGCTTCCATTTAGGATAGGGCTGAAGGCAAAAGAGAGATTTACAGCAAAAGTAAAGACTTGAAAAGATAAGGATTTTTTAATTTTTTGCCTTTTGTATACAATGCATTAGATCAAAGAGGGTCAACTCTGTCCTGGAGTGTCGAGTAAAAGAAGCAGTACAAGCACCATGACTGTTCCTGGACCACTGCAGCGCCCTGGAGGGCCTGGAGTATTCAGGCACCCCACCATTGTAAGTAGTCAAACTGAATTAGAATTAGAATTACCTGGGGTCTTACGGGCGCCACTCCCTGCCTCCAATATAGCCAGTAGAGAGAGGTGGAAGCTCCCTGCCTAAGTGAAGCCCAGCTTAGCCGTATATTTGCAGCCGATAATATAGCAATGGACTACGCAGATTAGCTCAGAAGCACCAAAAAAAATCCTAAGCAGAAGATTCACGCTCTGCAGGATGCTACAGAGTGGCGGTAGGGAGGACCCTAGGTTAGAAGTAAAACTGTTCTAAGCCAGTTTGAATGCATAAAATGGGAGTGGACACCTCTGGCTTGGCATCAAAACCTGTTCAATGCACTTTAGTGGTGATAGTGTTTCACAGAAGGCCTTTGTTTTGTAAATTATTGCACGAAAAAGTTGAATTGGAAACATAGCTAAATTGTCCATTTTTGTTTAGATTTATTCAATGAACAAGGCTCAACAGGTAAATTCTGGACAAATCGATTTGTTCGGCTATGGATTAAAAAGGAATTTGTTTTGTATGAAAGTCTTGGAATTTTGCCAGTTTGGCTATTTTTGCGTAAAAAAATTGCAACTCCTGGTTTTGTAAATAAGTGTGGAAATATATTACATCCAATCTATTGATAGTATTTATTTTTTTTACCTTAGTGGATGACGGATGATTCCCTTAAAGGGGAACTATAGTGCTAGGAATGCAAAGCTGTATTCCTAGCATTATACTACCCTCCGTTCCACCCTCTCTCCCATGGTCCTGATTGACAACCACTAGAGGTAGTCTTAGTCCTGCAAGGTAAGTATTGCAGTTTCTCAAAATCTGCAATATTTTACTTTGCAGGACTAAGTGGGACTGGGACACTGCGCCCAGACCACTTAAATGAGCTGAAGTGGTCTGGGTGTCTATAGTGTCACTTTAAACTATGCAATGCTGATAAAACAAAGACACAAGCAGAATTATTTTCCTTCATATGTTTTATTTAGTTGCCATGCTACTGTAACTGTAAACATGGCAGTTAGAAAACACACTGGGGTATGCCCATTCTGAAAATCTTGACCTGATCACTGGTCTTCTCCAAAAGTGGTTAAGCAGAGCAGAGGCTGGCAGAGGCTTGTGAGAGTTTATCTACCAGCAGGCAGCTTACCAGCCTTGCTACGGAATGAAGAAAGTCCATTTCAGTACAAAGTTTAAGGCAAGTAAGTGATTACATAGTAAACATCAAAAATCAAGTATAAAACAGATACATTAATTTACTGCACATGTTGAGAATGTTGGTAGTACATTAGTTCACAGGTCAGTAGGACCTAGAATTTAAATGAAGCATCCCTATTGGAATAATCAATAAATAACACATGATAAACAGTACCAGGAGAGAGGTTTGTTACAGTTATACTTAACACGTGTATTTTTTAAAGTAGACCACCGTGAATGACTCAGAACCATCCGATGAATTCTTAGTGTTCCTTGCATGGTAGATGGGTACAAAAGGCTTTGCTGAATTAAGTAGACATCTACATGGATCTACATATCATATCTATATCATATCTATACATTCTGAGTCTTGCTAGACAGAATCCATACTACGTACCCAATGCTCTACACTGGAATGGTCTGGTCTAATCTTCGACACAGGAGCTTAAACATTGCAACCTGGTGTCGACGTTCATTCAGTAAAGTTTCTCGAAATTCTGGTTTCATTGCATCCAGAGTTGATATTCCTGTGTAACCTGGAAACCTCAACCAGATTTTCCGCTCAGCAACATTATACTTTAAAACTTGGTGATTGGAACTGGAACTGATGGAAACTGTTAATTAGTGCAGCCTCTAAAATAACAATAGGTACATTTAAATTGGCAGGAGAATATTATTTTTGCCAGCACCAATTCACATTTTAAGACATAATATAAGTACAAAAGGTTTTTTCAAAAAGACAACAACATTTTAGGAAGAGGTCAGTATGTACGATAAGTGGACATCCAAAACACAGTACCACTGAGTAACTCTTAATGTAAGTTCTTTCCCCCAAATGGGTGATAGAAAATTGGTTCTTAAGGAAACAGCAGCAAAAGGAGCAATAATAAATTATATTTGCTAAGGACGGTATCATGGACACGTGAGGGAGGTCAGCAGATTTAAAAAATGTCCACTCCCACAGCATCTACTTGACATTCATTGTATAAGTCCCATCATTGTTTTCAAATTCTGTCATGTGGATCACTTATGGTCTAGGCACTTCGTCTAGAGCACTCATAAGGCTGGATTTTGTCAAAATCTATATCATTGCACAGTACATTCTCCCCCATAGTTCAGGCACTAAAAGTGGTAATCTCATGACATGAGCTTTTATACATTAACCAGTGGTTTGGTCATCTACAAGACATTTTCCATCAAATGAATTCATCTATAAAATGCCCATGCTTTTTGCTTTTCAAAACATTTCATATGTTTTTTTTTTTATAATTATGGATAATCTTCATATGTGGCAAGCAGCCGAGTTTCAATGGTTGCCCAGAGCCTGACTCGTTGCTCGAAAAGCCAACCTGACCTATAAGATATGGTGATATTTACTTCCAGTCATCTTGATTTCCATCATGGTGGCCCCCACACTTACATAGGTAGACCTATCTATCTTTTACACATTCTCTTCCCCATTAAGGAAGATCTCCAGGAAGAAGATATCGCTAAGTTTTCAAATTATGGCTTTATTACATCAGTAGACTGGAGTTGGGCAAACCTTTCCTAACAAAATAATGCCCTTTCTGAACTCAGCTCCCTTTTTTACACCTTTTGCAAGGCAGCCAGAAGTTATCAGCTTCTACCAAAAATGGAGAACAAGGTAATGAATCACACCCCTCACTGGCATACAGAGAAGAGGGAATTCAATATATATGTATTCAACATTATATATACAAATTATTAAGTGCGTAACTGTGAAACGGACAATTTGGAAATATTTAATTTTGACCATTATTGTCTTTTGTTCTTTCTATGAATTAGAAACAAAACATGTATAAATTAATACATTTTAAGGTCGAAGATGCCCTTTAAGTAGTGCACCAACACTAAGTTGTATCTGCAAGTAGTGACAAGTGCTTTGTCTATATACTCTTATGTTGCACTTCCATTAGAAACATGACTTTTAGCCCTGTTAATACACAGTTTTATTTTACTATACAGTTTAGTCAGAGTGTTACATTGTTATTTTAAAAATATATATATATAATAAAATAGCACCACTGCTAGAAGTCTTTCTCGGCTAGCTGCTTTTTGATCTTTTGTTGTAGATAAATTGCAGAGACAGCACTGCTTAATATAAGCAGGAAGAAGGATATACATGACATTTGGGTGTATCCGGAACTGTACCGAACTCTAAAGTGCTCCTGCCTATTGTTATAGTCTAGAAGAACTCCCTCCAGCTGTGACAACGTGCATAGACCTAAAAACACGTGAAATATTTGATGTCCATGTCCTACAATGTCACAACAACCAGGGAAATATTTTTCCGGAACTGGACAGGAGAAGAAATAAGCACCAATGATGAAGAAAATGATCTGCAGACAGTGGAACCAAAAAGACATATCTGTGCAGCTGTCCAGGTGACAATTCAATATGCGGTGAATGACTGGGCTTATATCTAAGATATACGCGAGACCAGCTGGGACAACCTGGCATAGCTTCCTCATGACTGGGTAGGGTCTTCTGTAACGATATTTTGCATAGCAGCAACCTATGCACGACATCCACCCGAGGAAAGCAGCTCCTGGTAAGTAGAAAGGCCAGGCTACATCATACCACCCTTGGTTAGAGCTGTAGTAGTAGTGAGCCAAGGCACTCCCATACTGATAAGTGCAAA